ATTTTATAAACCTGTATAATGTCAACTCTCAGCCTGTGACGCTCCGGGGAATAAAGCCCTAGCCTATTCAGCCTCTCCCTATAACTCAAACCCTCCAGTCCTGGCAACAACCTCGTATATCTTTTTTGCACTCTCTCAAGTTTAACAACACCCTTCCTACAGAAGGGCGACCAGAATTGTACGTGGTATTTTAAAAGTGGTCTCACAAGTATCCTGTACAGCTGCAACATGACATCCCAACTCCTTTACTCAATGAGGGCATGTGTGCCTTCTTCACCACCCTGTCTACCTGCAACTCCACTTTTGAGGAATTACGCACCTGCACCCCTAGGTTTCTTTGTTCGGCAACACTCCCTAGGTTCCTACCATTAACTGTATACATCCTGCCGTGGTTTGCCTTATCAAAATGCAACACCTCGCGTGTATCTAAGTTAGACTCCATCTGCCACTCCTCAGCCCATTAGCTCATTTGATCGAGGACCCATTGTACTCTGAGATAATCTTCTTCATTGTCCATGGCACCACCTATTTTGGTGACATCTGCAACCTTGGTAACTGTGCCTCCTATATTCACATCCAAATCATTTTAGATGTATATAAATGATGAAAAGCAGCAGACCCAACAACTACTTTTTGTCCATCCACATTTTTGTGCCATCCAATTTGCCATGTTGTTGGGTAGGTGCCGGTGTGGAACAGCTTGGATGTGGCAAGTTCTAGAGCACAAGTTTTCAGTACCATCGCTGGGATAGAGTTACAGCCTGTAGTCTTTGCAATATCCAAGTAGCTTCAGCTATTTTTAAAAATTCATTTGTGGGATGTGGTGTAGCTGGCTGGCTGGCATTTATTGCCTGTCCCTAGTTGCCCTTGAGAAGTTGGTGGTGAGCTGCCGCTTTAAACTGCTGCAGTCCATGTAGTGTGGGTTGACCCATAATGCTATTAGTGAGGGAATTCCAGGAATATGACTCAGTAAGACTGAAGTATAATGATATATTTCCAAGTCAGGATGGTGAGTGACTTGGAGGGGAGCATGCAGGTAATGGTATTCCCTTGTGTCTGCTGCCCTTGTCCTTCTTGATGGAAGTGATTGAGGATTTGGAAGGTGCTGTCTGAGGATTGTTGGTGAATTTCTGTAGCACATCTTGTAGATAGTACACGCTGCTGCTGAGCATTGGTGATGGAGGGAGTGGGTGCTTATGTATGTGGTACCAATCAAGCTGGCTGCTTTGTCCTGGATGGTGTCAAACTTCTTGAGTGTTGTTGGAGCTGCACCCATGCAGCCACGTGGAGAGTATTCCATCACACTCCTGACTTGTGCCTTGTAGATGGTGGACAGGAGTGGGGAGTCATTTGGGGAGTCAGAAGGTGCATTACTCATGCAGCATTCCTATCCTCTGATCTGCTGTTGTAGCCACCATGTTCATGGGGGAGGCAATGGCCTAGTGGTATTTTCATTGGACTGTTAATCCAGAGACCCAGATAACGTTCTGGGGACCCAGGTTTGAATCCCGCTGCGGCAGATGGTGGAATTTGAATTCAATAAAAAAAATCTGGAATTAAGAATCTAATGATGACCATGAATCCATTGTCAGTTGTCAGAAAAACCCATCTGGTTCACTAATGCCCTTTAGGGAAGGAAACTGCCATCTTTATCTGGTCTGCCTACATGTGACTCCAGACCCACAGCAATGATGTTGACTCTGAACTGCCCTCTGGGCAATTAGAGATGGGCAATGAATGCTGCCTAGCCAGCGATGCCCTCATCCTATGAATGAATAAAGAATGAAGAAAATGTAGTGAGTCCAGTCGAATTTGTAGTCAATAGTAACTCAAAAGATGTTGTTAGTGGATTCAGTGATAGTAACACCAGTGAATGTCAAGGTGCAGTGGTTAGATTGTCTCTTAGTGGAGATGGTCATTGCCTGGCATTTATGTAATGTTAATGTTACTTTACACTTGTCAGACAATCCTTGATACTGTCCACATCTTGTTGCATTTTATTTTATGATATAACGAAGAGATCATTGAATTGGCTGAAGACTGGCACCTGTGATCCTGGGGTCCTCTCCAGGAGACCAAGGTAGAACATCTATTTGGCACTTCTGGCTGAAGATTGTTGCAAATGTTTCAGCCTCATCTTTTGTACTGATGTGCTTGATTCCTCCGTCATTGAGGACGGTGATATTTCTGGAGCTCCACCTCTAGTATGTTGTTTAATTGTCCTCCATTATCAGGACTTGACTTTTGCTCAGTCTATCATTTGCTGCTTATGCTGTTTTCGCATGCAAGCTGTCCTATATTGTACTTTCACCAGGTTGATATTAATGTTGATGAATTCCTGATGATACTCCTGGCATGCCCTCCTGTATGCTATATTGAGCCAGGATTGATCCCCTGGCTTGGTGGTAAAGGTAGAGTAGGAATATACTGGGCCAAGAGATTGCAGATTGTGTTGAAGTACAATCCTGCTGCAGATGGTCTACAGTGTGTCATGGATGCCCAGTCTTGAGTTGTTACATCTGTTTGAAATCTATCCCATTAGCACAGTATGGGAGTTATATTAATAGAGAAGATGGGAGTTTGTCTTTTGACTTATCTTTGATAAGGACTGTGTGGGAGTCACTCTTACTGATACTGTCATGGACAGATGCACCTGTGGCAAACAGATTGATGAGGATGAGGCCAAGTATATATTTTCCCTCTTTCCTTCCTTCACCATCTGCTGCAGACTTGGTCTAGCAGCGATATCCTTTAAGACTCAACCAGCTTAATCAGTAGTTAGTGCTACTGAGCCACTCTTAATGATCGATGTTCAATGCCCCACCCAGGGTATGTTATGCATCCTTGCTACCCTATGCACTTCCTCCAAATAGAGTCATAGAGTCATACAGCACAGAAACAGACTCTTTGGTCCAACTCATGCATGCCAACCAAGTTTCCCAAACTAAACTGATGCCATTTGCCTGCATTTAGCCCATATCGCTACAAACCTTTCCTATTCATGTACTCATCCAATGTCTTTTAAATGTTGTAACTATATCTGCATCCAATAATTCCTCTGGCAGTTCATTCACACCCAAACCACCTGTGAAAAAGCTCCCCTCAGGTCCTTTTTAAATCTTTCTCATCTCACTACAAAATATGTCCCCTAGTTTTGAATTCCCCCACCCTTTGGAAAAGACCTCTGCTACTTACATTATCTTTGCCCCTTATGATTTTAAAAACCTCTATAAGGTCACCCATCAACCTCCTATGCTCCAGTTAAAAATTTCCCAGCCTATTCAGCCTCTCCCTTTAACTCAAACCCTCCAGTTGCAGCAACATTATTGTTAATCTTTTCTGCACACTGTCCAATTTAATAATATCCTTTCTATAGCAGGGCACCTAGAACTGTGTAGACGGTCTGAAATATCAACAGAGAATAAGGGAAAAGTGGGAGGCTCTTACATGTTACATGGTATGTGGTAGTCTACAGGAGGTTTCCTTGCCCATGTTTTACCTTATTCCATGAGACATCATGAAATCCAGAGTCAACATTGGAGACTCCCAGGGCAGTTCACTCCCAACTGTATACAATATTCATCATGAAAGCTGTCTCACTATCACGTCCCATTTTGCATTTTCTTTTATATATCTTCACCTATAGTTCACTTCTGCGTGTCTGAGTTTGGTGGTGTTGTCTGGCAGGTTTTCAGTAAATTGTGATTCCTTAAAGGATGACTATGTCAGGCTGTTGCTTTTCAGGGACTGAGGACATTTCAGGGTTGATGGGACTGAGCTTGCTGTTGTTGTTTCCAGTGCATAGGTAGGTACAGATGATCTGGTCGGTTTCAGTTTTGTTTGAAACTTTTTAGTGTCTAGATACAATTGAGTGTCTTGGTAGAATTAAGAGTCAACCACTTTGCTGTGGCTCTGGAATCTCACATAGCCATACTAGGTAAGGACAGCAGATTTACTTTCCTAAAGGACATTAGTGAATCAAATGGGTTTTTATGATAGTAGACAATGGTTTCATGGTCATCATTAGACTTTTAATTCAAGGATTTGTTTTTTGCCTCAAATTCCACTGTCTGCCATGGTGGGATTCAAATTCAGACCCTGCAGAGCATTACCTGGGTCTCTGGATTAGTAAACCAGTGACATTACCACTGCACCAGTGCCTCCCCATAAGGATATATTGGACAAGTTAGAACTGTTTTCCTTGGAGAGGGGTAAGCTAAGATGAAAACTGATAGTTTTCAAAATCATTTAAGGGCCTGGGCAGAGTGGCTAGTGAGAAATTGGTCCTGCTTATATGAGAATTGAAAATCAGGCACACAGATTTAGTGTTTTGCAAAAGAAGCAAATATGAATTTGGAAATAACTTTTTCACACATTGATTAGTTACTGTCTAGAATGCACTGACTGGAGGTATGGGACAGATTCAAATGAGGCATTCAAGAGGACATTGAATAGTTGATTTAAACAGAAGCTGTGCAGGGTTATGGGAAAAAGCCACACGATTGTCACTAAGCCAAAATGCTCAGAGCTAATGGAGACCTGATCAGCTGAATGGTGTTCTTTTACACAGTAACAATTCTGCAATTCTGTAAAGACAGGGCAATATTCTAGATAGACTGAAAAACCAGAGGGAAGCTTTTTGCAACATGATGTCTGATCTAGGTGGAAACTCCTTTAGTTCTAATTATTTACATTAGACAGTTTGAAATGGAGTATGCTAGGTTCACATTAAAGCCATGTTTGATCATGTTCACGATCGGAAAAAAATTATGTGAAACTCTTCCAAAATTAAAAACTTCAACGTGTCCGCACCGTGCTTTCTCTAAAATGCACTGGATCAGCATTTAGTGCTGACAATAAAATACTAACACTTTTCTAGTTATACAAATGTTCCCTGTAGTAAATATTTTTCAAATTGCAACACTCATGATGGTAGCACGTGTTCCTTTAAGTAGAATTATATTCATTGTTTTCCTTTCTTACTTCTCTTTGAACTATAGGTGAAGAAATATAAAAGAAAATGCAAAATGGGACGTGATAATGAGACAGCTTTCATGATGAATATTGGAGAAAATGCATTATCGGTACCACAGATAACTTATGACCATATTGATGAAAAGGATAACAAGAAAGAAGTCAATTATTTTATTGATGAGCCCACAGGTATTTGTTTTGTATCTTATATGAGATTTTGGATGTTAAAATGGCACCATACTAATTCATCTTGTCTAACCTATACTAGTGATGCCAATGATATGTTGTCACACCATGAACTGGATTTAATGTCAAGTTCACATATAGAAGATAAGCACTTTATTTGACAACACATTGCAGTTATGTCAGTGGAGTGTTTGTCATGTGTTATAGGTTATGCTGGCCTTCAGGTTCATACTCATTTGCATGACATGAATACTATTTAACATGAAGCAGTTTTCAATAATGTCCTACCTTCAAGATATAGTTGGTGTTGCACGAGAATCAAAAGATTGTTCAAAGGTGTAACTGCTGCATCTGCCCCAGGTTTGTACAATTGTGTATATGATCAATTGTTGCACTCTATGGCACAAGGGAGTGGAGCAGGAGCAAGATCTCCAGCATAGAGGATTGGTGCTGGCAAGGGAGTGTCAGCTGTAAGATGGGATACGGGCTATGGAGGATTGGAAGAAATATCTAGGGGAGGACAGATAGCAGAGTCAGGGTAATTGAAGATTGGCAGAAGGATCCAGGGGAGACAAAGGGTGAGGCTGGGGGCATGGAAGAGTACACTGGGAAGGGCCTAGTGTCCTCTTTGTTATAAGGTAATTAGGGATCTAAAGGTCAATGTTAATGCTGTTGGAAAGTGTGTCCATCTCGGGGTGTTGGCTGGCATTGTCCTTAGAGGGCTTTGAGTTCAACTACAGTATTTAAATTACCGTTGGTGAGATTGCTGTTGAGCAATGTCCTATAAGATTCACAAAAGGGTGGGCCAGCTGAGCCCACTAATTTAGTCATATCCCAAAGAGGTGGTGAGTGCAACATTGGACACTAATGTGAGCCTTCAGTAAAGTGTGAATGGAAAAATACCGCACTGTTGCTTCCACAATAAAGAAAAGCATGCTTTGTAAAGATAAAACAAAACAAAACATTATAAGTAGTTCTCTGATTGAACTAAACTCAGCAAACAATGATGATGCACACATGAATAAAGTGAAATCAATCTGATGTTACATATTTAAAGTGGAATTTAAAATGCCACTGTGCTTCCAAGTCTTATGTTAATGATAATATAATTGGGCAGGAAAGTTGTTGCTGTGATGTGGAGTCTCTCTATTTGACAAGGAGAGTCTTTAATAGGCCACCTTTGGATGCAGCTTTGCGAACTGACAAGTTTCACTAATGAAAAGCTTATCCAACTTTGAAATCAGATGGTTTACCTCCATGCTGTTTGTCTGTAGAATTTGAATTATAACCATGTGAATTAGGTAAATATCCTTTTTGAATGGAAATCTGCAGTCCTTACCTGGTCTGACCTACATGTGGCTCCAGAACCACAGTGATGTGGTTGATTCCTAACTGCACTCTCGGCAACTTTGGATGGGGAATAAATGCTGGCCTAGCTACTGATACCCGCATCTATTGAATGAATGAATAAATAGTAAAATCAATCTGTTATGTGGCTATTTTGCACTGGAATAGCAGAGCTAAAAGACTACCCAATTCAGGTCTTCAGCTCTACAGTTGGACTTCTTCACTTAAAACTCTTTGCTGTATCTGTGAGCACAAAAAAAAGTTTCCACTTCATTATGGAGTCAAATTGAAACTATAATGTAAAATATCTTGCAAGGATTTCAACTAGGATTAGGTACCTGACACATTTGGCTACATTTCAGCTTCATACCGGACTGTGCTACTGTTCAGGATGGGTATGTTTCAGGAATCTCCTCCTCATTTGTTGTTCAATTTGTCCACACATTCCCAACTAGATGTGATAAAGTTACAGAGTGTGACTGTGATCTATTGGTTGAGTAATTGCTGAGCTCCTTATCTGTGCTTTCGGTATTTAGCAGGCAGTGCTGCATTATAAATTCATTAGGTTATAATGATTCAGATAAAATAGTTTCCTGAAGAACAAAGAAAATATAATAAATGATCAACTTGAATGTAGCATTAAGAACAAAATAACAAAAGGAGTTGCTGTATTTAAAGACTTCTCTCAACCTATATTAATTTGGACCTTTGTCAAGGAATAGATCTCTAGGGTACAATCAATCATAATTCAGTAATTTTGAACAAATACATGCATTATCAAAATCAGAGCAATTAGCTATTTGATTCCTAATGTTCTTAACTGAACTTGTAATTAATGGCGCAAAACTGTAGACTTTTTAAAAAAAAGTCTTCAGCAAATTGAACCAGATTGTATATGTAAGTAGCAAACTATTGCCAAATGATTCATGGGAGCAGATGGAACTCATTATTTGCCACAAGTGATTACAGGTCATGTGTACAACTCATTACTATTGAACTTGCCAAAGTCTAATGCCCATAGAAAGACACCATGATGAATAGCTATTGGAAAGTTTTTTTTCAATCATTAGTTATTGCCTTTCTTTGTTGCCAAGGCTGTGTTGAGCATCTCATCAATGCTGCTTGGTTAAAAAGCATATAATGTATTAACAATAGGCAGTAGTCTAGCCTGTTACTCTTGATGCTGTAAGGTAATTTCAATATTTTTCACTCTATAGATTTGCTAAAGATGAGGGGTGAAATCTTTGCTCTTTAAAAATAATCGCAAGCCAGGTCCATTTTTAAATGCTAACCCTACACTTGCCAGCAGTGCGCCTGTCGATGTGATCATGTGGGAGGCAACATCCTAATTAGCTGCGGCTGCATCCAATACCAACCAAGGACAGCGGGTGGGTTTGAGAGGCTTTAGATGGAAGAATGGCAGAGGTGGGCTCTGCCACTGCAGGATGGGGACTTCAAGGGTGCCTCTATCATGGTGTGCTTGCTGAAGAGGAGAACACCATCCACAAGAATTGCGTGTGACCACAGCTGTGTCCTTTTGATCCATAAGGCTCCAGTAGGGTTTGGTGGGGGAGGTGGCTGGGGGAAGAAAGCTAAAGAAACATCATAGACCCTTTGGTCTAATGCCTGCAAGTTACCTCCTCAGTAAGGAGCCTCGACCTCCATAATTGGCTCATAATAAGGCAGATGGGCTCTCCAGCTGTGCTGATAAGTTCACTGTTGTTATCTCCATGTTTTTGGCAAGATCAGCAGCAGGCAGGATCACAGTGGGACATGAACCTAGTCCTTCCTTCAAGTCTTGCTTTAGGACCAGGAATATTCTGCCCAATTTTTCACTTTATGGTTCTCAGAGTGAACAACATAGGTTCTAATCTAGGACTTAGATCATTTCAAAAAGATTTGCGAATTTTAACGTGTGAAATGAATACATTTAACAGCATGCTGCACAGTTTTGGTACTAAAGTGCTATTGATGACAAACCTATGAATCCAAGTTAGTTCTGAAACGTTCCAAAATGTTTGTTTTTTTTTAAGTGAAGGATTGGGGCACCAGTAAAAGCTTGTGTGAAATAATTTCCCTTTTGTGGTTTACTGAAGAAAGTTGTGCATTTCTACTTCCTGCTATAAGTTATGATTACAATTTGAATATATGCAGTCATTTGCATATAATTAACTGGAAATTTGACTAATTTTTTTTATCTCTATCACTATTCTGAAATAAGGTTTTTCACTAATTAAGGTATTTCATCCACCAACGCCAAAGGCTGCAAAACCTAATGTGACATGACTGCTCCCAAGTCAGGAAGAAAAGACTGGATTTCCTTTTGAATTCTCTGGCAGTTTTGGGCAGCAAATATGGTCATGCATAGCACATCAAAACTACTAGTCTTAAAATGCACCAAAACATTGTCTATTCCCTTTAAGTCTCACATTGCTGTGATTAAATGGAGTTATGTGGACGTTGATGACATCTTCATTCCATTTTCACTGGCTGCCTCCCGACTGCCGCTATTTAAATTACAATTATAACTATATTAAATGCATATATAAAAGCATTTTAAAATAATGTAAGAAGGCAGCTGCAACCAATCCTGATAATATCATAAACTTAAACCAGCTAAAGTTTAAAACCATTTTAGAAATTTTATTTGTGACAACTTCCTTCTCTCTTTTTCAGGTTTAGTCACTCTAATTTAAACCATACCCAAAAATCACCACTCACTAAAAACCACTTGATTTCAATATTATTGTTTTCCTTTTTATGTCTGTTAGACATTCACTTAAGTACATTATCTCTGGTGATGTCATTTGTGAATTAGACCTCACTGTGGCGCTGTTTGCCTAATCAGCCAAAATGATTTTCGTCACAGGCCTGTAAAAATGTTGCTGTCAAACTGCATCAAGACATTGCCCTGCATTTTAAATTAGGCTTTGAGTTTGGGAATCAAAACAGCACAGTCTTTACCACATTTCAAAACAACTAACTTTGTTTTTCCAGTCAGGTTTTTCCTGATACTGAATCTATCCTCGAGTTTTTCTGTTTGTAGAATGTGCATTCTGTCATAACTTAGACATTCGTAAGGATACTCTAAGGGTAGTGCAAATATGTATTTGTTGATTCTTTATTAGTTTCATGTGGTTGTCCTCAGGACGACACTGTTTATCCTGCGCGACATGGGGGTCATCCTTTTCCAAGCAGTTTTTCCATTATGAATGTTAATTTTCTCAATGTACAGTAAAACCTAGAATAGCACCGCCAGTGTTGTACAATAGTAAACCAGTACAAAGCTTGACATGTTCATATAAGAAACTGTTTAAAAAAAAAAGTGTAAAAACTGTTTTAAAAATGCTGTAAAACAGCTAATTACAACTGCTGTGCTATTTCAGAATGCTTTCTAAAGTGTGCCATTTTTATTTCCTGATACAATATCTTAATTCTTATTTTTATACTGACCATAGCTTGATTTTTTTTCTTTTTAGTTGTCCAATAAAGAGAACTAATTATAGATGAACAGATGAGTAATCTACTTTCTTTTAGCAACACAAGGCCATGATTTAATAATTCAGCCTCTGAATTCACCATTTATTTCAATCATTGATAAATGGAGCCAAGCTACAATAATCTATCTTGGGTTCATATCTCTTGAGATCTAGCAT